CCCCCCCAAAAAAAAAAGCCCCTTAACCAAGCTTTGCAATATGTTACGTTAGCATTCTGCATTTCAGCAGGCAGCATGGACTCACATACAAGTGACTTGCCCTGGTCTGCATCCAGTCTGCCATACAGCTTAGGTCTGGGTAGCAACTTAATTGTATTCGGGATACTCTGATAGATGCTTATTTCAGGTTTAGAAACCATTTTGGAGAGTTTGCATCTAGATTGTTGTATTTAGCTTATAATCCAAAAGAAACTCACTCCCAAAATGGCACAGAACAGATTCAGCTAAATGTTTCTGAAGTGGTTTAGCTAGTCAAAACTGTGCAAATCAGCTTCAGGTCTGTGGTTCAACTGCAGAGAGAGAGCATCTAGAAATACCCTTGCCCATACTTTTTTACTTCAGTTTGTGCCAGGTTAGATTTGGTGAGAAAACCCTTACTCATTATGGTACAGCATGCACGTACAGATAATTCCTCATAACCTTTTAATGGATCGGAGAAACCAAAAGCTGGTGTATGAAAGATGCAGAACTCCAGAGGACCCTTTGAAATGACAGGGACAAATGAGGAGCACCAAGATCAGCCTTTTCAAGCTGCTGAATGAGCAGATGACCAACAGAGAAAATAGTGAATTTTAAATGGTAGGCAAAAAAAAAAGCAGTAGGTTACCTAGTAGTCTCAAATTTTAACATCATGATCAGACATTTTAGCAGAAATATAGAGAAGGGCCTGGGAAAGGAGCAGTTGCTGGCAGCTGATTCAAATCCAAGCTTTGAATTTCAGAGTTTTGGGGTAACAGGGAAGCCCCAGTTTCTTCAGCCAAAATTAGTAAGGTGGCATTTGCAGCTGCTTTATGCAATCAGTACAGTTTTTTTACTCCCTTCACATATACTCCTCCCAGTACTAAGAATAGTGGTTCTTACCAAGCGGTATCCCAAGGAGACCTCTCTCCCTATTCCCAGGTGACAGAACAGGAACTACCTTACAAGAAACGCATCTTCACCAAGAAACACCCATGGGCATCAGACAGACTATCACCCCTACTTTCATTTCAGGTCTTCATGTCTTGGTTGACTTTGCCTTTATACTTCTCCCTCAGCATTACAAAGATCAATGTCACAGGAGCAGGGAAAGCGTTCATGGTGAAAGTGCACGAAAGCATTCATGAAAAGTGCAAGAGCAACAAAACCAACGTTCCTACAAATATTCATTATCAAGCCCTGAAAATTAGAGTATATCATAAAACAAACATAAGAACGGCCTGCCAAAATGTCTTTAACCGAGTTCAAGCTGAGCCACTTCACAACAGGTCAATGATGCAGAATGTGAAGGCAAAAAAAGGACAAGCCTGCCACTTTAACCTCCCATCAATTTTAAGGCTCTAGCTCTCATCGGTAAAGATAATTTCCAACATATGAAACAAACTGAACACATATAGCATTCCCTGCCTGCAGAAAGCTTGAAACAATTGTTCAGAAGTCCCGGCTGCCTCGTTCTTCTCAAATAGCCAGAGAGAACAGTAAATACCAACGCCATTAACTATTTTTACTGATAAGCAGGACACATAAGGAAAGAGAGAAAACAGACCACATCGGGAGCCTGCACAGATACAATGCAGCATCTTCTGCAGTGTCACAAATTGGAGTAGGAAAAAAAAGGATATTAGGGTAATTTTTTTTGAGGAACCAAAACCACTTAAGAAACCCAGAGGAGAGGCCAATCACACAAAACACATCACTAGTTCCTCTTTCCTAGAAAAATTAGCTATGTACTAAGCATTGGGCCAAGGAAATTAATTTCCTGCCTAAGCTACATCTCAGGTACAGGTTTAGGCAGATCCCGCAGCCGTGAAATATTACCAGTACAGACATACGAAAAAGACTTTTAAAACTTGTGTTGGAAACGCCGCTTTTAAACACTGCGTTCCTGTCCTGATGCTGGGACAGCAGCCTCTTCCTTCCAATAGACCAAGGAAAGCCCTGTGAGTGTTAGAGAAGAACTGAGGACAAGCAATCTTAAAAAAAACCACCACCAAACAACAAATCAAGAAAACAACCCACAAAAGCACATTTTGAATATTCTCTACTGAGAGCAGTGTCTCAGGCCTCAGTTGCGGACAGAGAAGTACCACCTTTTATCTCTTATCACTATGGGTGAAATTTGGGAGTCTACCAACAATACTAAATCGCCTAATTTTTAATTTCATGACATTAAGTTAATCTAAGATTTACAAAATTTCAGAACAAACAAGATAAGGGTAAACTGACAGGCAGATAACCGTGATCCTAGAGCTGAGGGGCTTCACACACGCAGCGGCTGCAATTCAGAAAAACAGGCAAGTAAACACGACAAGTGGACGTGGAGACTCGGCGTGCTACTGCTGCAAAATAGGAAGAGTGCTGCAGACAGCAAGAACTACGGAGAAGGCTTTTGCCTGAGCGTCGGCATTCACGGGAAGAGGCAGAGAGGAAACAGCTGTGATTTTAGAAGAGCCTGCATCCATTTGCACTGGACCTAGATTTGGCTCACCATCCACGGATTACGCTTTGCCAATTCCACAGTGGTTCCCCTCCCCGAACAGATCTCCTCCGCGTTACCTGGGCAGGACACGCTTTGCTCCTGCCCACAACACACCACCTTACGCCTTCAGCCTCCACCACCCAGGCCGT